CTGGAAAAAATTAAGAGACCACAGCAGTTCTTTTTTCCTTTATTTCTTAATTTGTGGGTGTGGGTCTGTGAATAATAATATGTGGGACTTCAGTCCTACTTTTAGGACCCTGGTACGAACTGTCCTAGCAGTGCACTTCACACCTGCACTTAATGTTTCCTTTTGAAGGTCACTTGATGTCATCCTCTGATTCATGATAAACTGTCAGATAAGCTAACGGTCATCTCTGGCATTAGAAAGTTGCTTCTGCCCTTTACCTGGCTGGTTTCTGGTCGTTCCCAGTGTCTCCTGCTTCACCTTATTCTTCTCTACTGCTGTCTTAGACATTTTGAACCTAGAAGTAACCTGCTGCTCAATGTAGCTTCTGCCAGCAGAACCAGGATTAAACCAGGATTAAAAAGTACAGATTTTTTTAACAATATAGACTAGTCTCTTACTTTTTTCCGGACCTGTATATATACAGTGTATTACCTGCTGCTGTATTTGTCTCAGAAAGCAGCCTTTTGTTATGAGTATGATGCTTTTGGTGATGAAAGAAGCATCAATGTAGCCGAACACTGGAGATTTATTCATTCATTCATCCATTTGCCAAACCCCCTTATCCTATGCTGGGTCATGGGGGTCCGGAACTTACCACAGAAACAACAAGCACAAGGAAAGTAGGCAGGGAATAACCTAGGATGAGGCGCCGACCTATAACACTGGTATTGTCTGAGTGTCTGTTTTTGTGTCGTACTTCTGTGTGCTCTGCATTCCCTTGGGGTCTGTGTGTAATTATACTATTTCCGAGGGGGAAATATGCCAGTAGATGTGTAAATACTGTTTTATTAAATAAAGCTCTGTAAATATACAGCTAACTGAAGTGACTCTGAGTGCTTAATCTTTCCATGCTGAGTCACACATGGCTGCCCTGGTTCCTGTCTCAGGTGCCTGATTCAGGTGTGATAAACAGAACTGAGCCTGTGATCAAACCACTGGCTGCTTAGCAGCTCATCATACTGTCACTATATTGAGTTACAGGTCAGCAGAAGTCATTCCTCAAAATGTAACAAACTGTGAACAGTCCTTTATGCATCGCATAGATGCTTGACACATACCTGGCCATACTCATACTACAATAAAAAGCAGGATTCATTGACCAGGCGGCCTTCTTCCACTGATCTATGGTCCTGATCGATCATTTGCATGGCCATTGTAGGCTCTTTGGACAGTGGACTGCGGTTAGAATGGACCCTCTGAATGGGGTTAGCATGGACCCTCTGAATGGGGTTAGAATGGACCCTCTGAATGGGGTTAGCATGGACCCTCTGAATGGGGTTAGCATGGACCCTCTGAATAGGGTTAGCATGGACCCTCTGAATGGGGTTAGCATGGACCCTCTGACTGGGGTTAGCATGGACCCTCTGAATGGGGTTAGCATGGAGCTCTGAATGGGGTTAGCATGGACACATGGATTTATGTGTCTGTTTTCCATGCATACATTTACATTATTCATTCTAATATTGAGAAGAATGTTATTTTGCAAATTAAATGATTTAAATGGAAAACCTGAACCATAACCTTTCAATAGTCTTTATTTAGTAACATGCTTGCAAAGCAGTATATGTGCAACTCAAATTTAACTACTGGAAAACTTTAGATATTAAACTATAATATGCAGTTAAAATGTATATGATTTGGAAGATAGGAAATAACGTTACAGAAGAATTTAACTACTGTTTTAAAAAAACAATAAATTAAAGATACTGATGTATATTATGCAGCAAAAGATGACAGGAAATAATATTCTAGGAGAATAAAAAAGTGGCTGAAATGTAATTTCATAAAATTGTTCTTCATATTTTTCCAGTCAGGAAGGAGGCATTACTGAAAGAAGGTCTGATCCAGCCTTTTCTTCACCCCCTGAACCCAGTGAGCTCTGGGATCGACACACACTTCATTGCCCTTTTTGGTGTAAAGTCTGAAAATGAAAAATAAAATAACATGAGTCTGTTTGTCACTTGTTAGAATCCTTCTCCATATACATCTGATCCCGAACTACAAGTCAGTTCTGTTATAGAGATTTTGCACACAACAAACATTAAATTCCAAAGCAGTAATAGTTCAAAACAGTACATGAATAAAGTCAATATTTACATAATTCCAGGTTCAGGGCATTTCATACTCGTCTCTACATATCCAACTATCAGGTCCATCCTCAGTCTTCCAGGAAAGTATGTAAAACAGCACTGATCTAGTCCACTGCCATCTGGAGAGATATGAAGAACAGAAAATGTATAACAGGCTACATACAAAATATATACAGCCGCTCTGAATATATACATAAAAAATAATGCACACCAAAAAAACTCGCAATTTGGTCTGTAACCTGGTTCTTATATAAAAGAAATTTAATGAATCTTAAGTCCTGATAAAAGCTGTGAGATGCTGCAGACTTACTGTGAGCCAGAGTGGAGGACAGCAGCACTGTCATCAGGAGGAAGAAGGCAGAGATCTGATGGGGCTTCATGATTCCACTGGACGTCTCTGAAGATCAGCGTCGCTTCTGCAGCTAAACTGAGGCCAGCAGAGTTGAACCACGACCTTTTATAGGGGTTGTGTGTCTGGAGGTGGAGGGGGTGGCGTGGATGAAAAAAAAACAATTACCACTTAATGTACCTAAAATTAACTGACCACAGACAAGTTAGAGGGGCAGATTTTGTTGGAACTGACGTCACATGCATTCTGGGTGTTTCCTATACAGAACAGCAGATATTAACATTGGCCGCATTGCATGTTTCCTGTTGGCTGTTTTTCAAACCACAAGAGCCACTTGGCTGAGTCAGGGGTAACTAACCTTCTAACTAAACTATACTTTGCAGTTTCTACCATAGCCAGTGTTGAAGCCAAACTGAGCCTTAATAAATCTGCACTTCATTCCGATTCAACCCATCCAGTCATATCCTAATCAGCCTTTCAGTGACTGATCAGATTACTCCATGTACCAAAGAATAAATGAAAGTATAAACCACAAGACGCTAGTCCCAGTTAGGGTCACAGGGTGGCATAGGGAATGTGGCTGGGGTACACCCTGGAGGGTGCCTGTCCGTCATGTGGTCCATCCAGTCTTCCCACAAGTGGATCTGACTATGCTTATCGCTTAAACAGGCAGTAACTCATCCACGTCATCTGCAGGTTCCTAAGGCCAGCCACTGCTGGGGTGCAGGGGTCAAAGGTCAAAAGTGTAGTACTCACTGATATGACAGTCTGGGTTAGCAAATCCCAGGGTGCATTTACAGTGGAACCAGTTCACCCCGTCGACACGGATGCCGCTGTTGTAACTGTGGGACAAAACAAAGACCTTTCTTCATAGTGCCCTCCACAGACTCAATCCTGCTAGTACACTTAGACATGGATAATGATTAGTGACCTTTCACATGCTCATACCTGCCCCAACATCCAGACTTTTTCAAAAATAGACCCCAAGTGATTCAAGTTTACTTCCCAAACCGGATGATTTAAATTTAAATTTGACTAAGAGCTTTAGTTACCGGGGGTAAGAGTTACAATTGTTCGTGTCTATGGGGGAAAGTGGAAAACAATATGTAATTACAACCTCCCCCACGCACCGGAAACACAAGCAGGTGGCAGGACATCCGAGCTGTGGGTCAGGATGCTGGAATACACTGATGGCAGCTGTGATATATAACTTCGGATCCAGCCAGACTCCCTTTCAGCTCTGCTAGTGTTGGCATTGCTGACATCATCAGCGTAGCCGGGATTTCCGCTCCGCTGACATCATCAGCGTAGCCGGGATTTCCGCTCCGCTGTTTTTGGAAGTTGCCAGTTCAAGCCCTTCAGTGATACAACTCCAGACTAGAGTCAGACACACACGGGGCTTTCAGATGTTAATAAAGTGCAGATTCAGGCTAAAAGGGGACAGTGATGTCTCTCAGGAGCCCCAAAACCTGGTCACATACAGCAGATGGGAGGGCCCTCTGCATCTACTCTGCATCTACTCTGCATTTACCAGGGAAGCATCTTCTGGACAAGAAGTAATGTCACCCAGTAACTGCTGGTGAAAATTTATTGATCTCACTAAATGCCACTGCAGCTGATTGGCTGGAATCCTGCAGTAGGGTCTGGAAGGGAGCATAAGGGCTGATTTATACTTTACTCTCACAACACATACGCCTATGCATCATGGCTGCCACATGTTTTCTGTGTTCATTCCACACGTCATAGATGCATGTACACGAGATGCAATCCCACCAAAAACTGGGGTGGCATTACGGTCACCTTTTGTCACGGGATTATCTGTTTATATACGGCAGTTAGTATTAAAGTAACATCTGATTGTTTAAGAATGAATGGCCGGTAGAGCTGTATATTTTCAGAGGCAAGAGAAAATTGAGAGTACTATTGTGTCCCTCTGTGTACAGCGTCTTCAAAATTTAATGGCAGGTTAAGATTGTAAGAAAGCGGC